TACTCCAAATATACTATAAGCAAACTCTGGTGATACAAGAATTCTAAACATACATCCTTCATCTTCTCAATCCATAGTCTTTTTTTCTTGGTGACCTAAGCAAATACTTCTTTGGATCTTCAAAAAGGTATTCTAATTTAATTATCTTTGAAAGCCTATGTATTAACAGCCTTTCTGCCTGAACTGCCAGCCTATAAAGGAAACAAAATTTTCTTAACCAATTTTAACCACTATCCAACAATTAAGCATGCTTGCAAGTAATTGCAGTAGTGGTAACAGTAGTGCTAATACTATTAGAAGTACTACTACTAGTAGTAGTCATAATATTAATGATAATAAAATAGCTTATACTTGTGGAGCACGTACTAGTCACAATGTGCTGTGATAAGTATTTTACCTATAGTAACTAATTCTCACAGCCACCCAAAGAAATAGGTTCTATTATTATCCACATTGTACCTATTAGGAAACTAAGATTGAGAGATCGGCTGAGTGATTCAACTTCGCATAGTTAGTAAGTGGCAATCCCAGGATCACCTAACCCATAACCCAGCCTGTGCGGTTCTAATGTCTATGCCCTTCACCCCTGTGTCATGCCACCTCTCACAAGAGCTTGTCTTTCACCTTTGGTCGCATCTCCAAGAACTGGAAGAGAATCTAATATTTTTATATTTTTAGAAAGAAACCATTTCTTTGGCCATTTCTGTCATAGTTTTGAAGGTACTAGTTACTTTGAAAACTTGGGCACGACTACAGATAATGAAATATGGAAGTTTTGTACCTTTGCCCTTGGAGATCGGTAGGATCTTAAGTAGGAATTAGGGGCCATTATAGAAGAAGACATTTGTTGTTTGGGGCTTTGTAGAATCATTTCCGCATGCCTTGGCTTAGTTTCAGCCACATCTAAAGTGCTTCCAACTGTGCACTGATGTGGTGGTCACTGCCCCCGTGTCTAGAGTCACAAATTCAAGCTACCCCACTTACTAGTTTTCTGATCTTAGGCAAATTATTTCATGTCTTTTTCTTTTAGTTCCTTCACTGGAAAATGAGCAAACTTACTTCATATGATTGTTGGGAGAATTAAATGATATACGTATAATGTTTAGTTCAATGCTTGGCACGCTCTGGCTCAATACCCTTACGTGAAGTAGTGACAGGCAAAATGAAGGCTGTAGAAAATATGCTGCAATTCCTCTCATCAGAGTTAACCTGTTTCCCGTTTGGCTAGAAAATACCAAATATCGCTGGTGGCGTTTGCGGCTGCAGTGTTTATCCCAAGATAACTCGCAGATTACAGTTCTAACCTTACCTCCAAAGTTTGCCATACATCTCCCATGCTTTTTAGAGAATTACATCAAAATCAGACTGATGCAGTTGGGTCAGCTCATTTGAACAGAAAGCAGATGCTGAATGATCTGAAAAAAAGGATTGCAAAGGGGACGACTGTAGCAGATTCTGTGGTGAACTTACGGCACTGAATTGGTGTGACAAGAAGGTGGTGACAATGTTGTCAGCATTCCACAATGATACTGTGATTGAAACAGACAACAGAAATGGAAAGAAAACTAAAAAGCCATGTGTCATTGTGGATTGTAATGAGAATTTGGGAGCAGCAGACTCAGCTGCTCAGATGCTCACTTCTCATCCCACTGAGTGGAAAAGTCACAAGTTTTGGTAAAAGAAATTCTTTTGCCACCTACTGAACATTAGAGTGCTGAACTCCTGCATCCTGTTCAAGAAAGACAGTCCCGAGCACACGATCAGCCATGTATACTTCAGACTGATGTTGATTGAAAGGATGCTGGGAAAGCATCCCAAGCCAGGGCAGCAATATCTTTGAGGTCATCCGTGCTCTGATGATGTCACACCTCTTCACCTGTCTGGAAGACATCTCCCCAAGAGCTACCATCAACACCAAGGAAACATAATCCAACTGGTTGCTGTGAAGTTTGCTGCCTGCACAACAAGGATAGCAAGAAAATGCAGAGAAAAAAGCAATGTTTTTGTGCAGAATGTAATGTTCTGCTTTGTTTTTCCGTGCTTTGAAATTTACCACATGAAAAAAATTGTTAAATACTGATCACCATATACATTTTTTACATTAAGATTAGAGACAAGTTCTGTTTAGAAATAACTCCAAGGACAGTTTTTATATTTTATTTTCACATTGAAAACCGGTCAGATTTGCTTCAGCCTCAAAGAGCACGTTTATGAAAATTCAATTAATGCTGGCAGCTGCACTTTTCCCCCCCCAAATGGTCAATAGGCTAATTAGTTAATAAGACATTAATGATAAAACTCATAAATATTACCACATATTTTAATATGATTGCCTCCAGAGATGCAAAGATATTAAATTTAATAAAAGTTCCAAAATAGATAAAATTCACGTGGTATGGAGGGCAGATGTGGAAAGCTTTATGGCAAGAGCATGAGTATGTAGTGGTGTTCGAAGCCAGGCAGGGGCACAGATATTCCAGCTATGTTGGGAGAGAGTAGTTTGAGTCAGTGAGACAACATGACAAACTAGAAAGGAAGGAATGAGCTCATACATTTGCAGCACAGTGATGGGCCACTTCATTAGAAAAGAGGATTTGCTTCAAGAATATTGGGAAATAAGACCAGCTAGGGTGAACGTGTTAATTAACTAGCTGCGGAGAATCTTTTCACAGTATATAGATATATCAAATCATCACTTTGTGCACTTTAAATATTTTACAGTTTTTTCAATTGTACATCAATAAAGCTAAAAATAAAGATCAGGTAGGTAAGGATAGACCAAACTTTTGGAATGTTGCACAAAACCATACCTTTTTTTATAGTTTCTTTTATCTGGAGTAACTTTCATGGGCAATTCTGGCTAATAAAATGATGACCATTTTAAAAAGATTAGTTCAAATACTATGTCTTACAAGAAGACTTTTCTGCCTATTAGCAGAAATTTCTTCCAATGAACTCTTACTCCAGTTTATCTTTGCTCCTGTTTATCTGGCATGACCACACTTGCAGGTTTGCTTAGGTCATTCTGAGTTACGCTTATTATCCCAGTGTAATTATTAGCAGAATCCCCTTTCACTCTAAAATGTTTTGTGCGTATGATAAAAATATAAGGTCACCTACTTATACCTCATTCTCTTCTCCATTGTGTTACATATTGCTGTCTGGTGGCCCCTAATAAAACGTTTATTTGAGCCAAGATCATATCTATTCATTCTTGCATTCCCCCTGCAGACACTAATAATTATACATTAAGTGAATTTAAATAAGGAGATGGAAAGCTCTTGGAGTTGAAGTGTGTTCCTAGTGTCATTTGGTGTCGTACTGGCCCATACCAGGTACATGATAGGTCTGTAAATTTGATCAGACATCCACAGGGTTGTACTACTTTTGGAGTTTGCTGGAGATGACTTTAGCACAGACCAGAAGTGTGTCCTCATAAATCTTCTCTTCCCTTTTCACTGCTTGCTAGCTGGCGCACATTTCTCATTGACAGTTTCGGTTGGTCTTAAGGCCCAAAGAAAAATTTTCTTTGGAAAAAATCCAAGGTGTTAAATCAAGAGTAAATGCATGTTTGTGCTTTACTTTAATTGCATGTGGTGACTAAAACAGTTCTACTTTGTAGAATTTAACCTTTCTCATTACTGGCTCTTTGTTAAAAAATTTAGAATAAAAATTAATGAAGATAGATGATATTTCAATTGATTCCTACATTGATCTAATAGGACACTATAGTTACAAACTATTGAATTTTTAGTTTTGTTCAAGCGGTGTTATTTCTTTGGGATTTCTAGCTGGAATTTCAACTCTTGTTTTATAACATTTTATGAATTAATAACCCTACTTGATTTTCCTTTTTAAAATTTCTATGAAGTTATACTAGCAGATGTTAAAGGGATTAAAGAGCATAAAGTTTCTCATATTATTTATTTACAGAGTAGTCATTTAGATGACTTTTTAAACTTCCTGATTATGAGTGGAAAGTATAGTTATCTGTGAAATCTTGATTTCTAACTTGGAATCTTTCAGTTCATTTTGTAGTGTTAGATGTCCCTCCCCACCCCGCCCCCCCCGCATATCTTGTGGATTAAGGATGTCACCACTATTCAAATGTGTGTGTGTGTGGGTGTGCGTATGTGTGCTTAGCTATATTACTACATATTACTACATATTAAACCTGGAGGTTAAACTCTGAACCCCATGACAATGGGCTTTATGGAAAATTAGAGTTAAACTGCTGAAGGCCCTTAAAGAGAGTCTTGAGAGTAAATCGCTTTTCTACTCAGAGCACAACCCTGTGCTCACAACATTCCAGTGACCACTGCCAGTCTTTTGAAAATATTTGTGGTCAGTGCTCCTTTGCCAGAATATAGTTACTGGGTTTTCCTTTTTCATTTCACTCTTTGTTCTAAAGAAGCCATAGAATTTCTCATGTAGGATTTTCTCTTTTCTAATCTTAGAGGAAGGATTCCCAACCTTGGCACCATTGACATTTTACATCAAAGAATTCTTAGTTGTGGCGGGCTCTGCTGTGCCCCATAAAATGCTCAGCAGCATCCCTGTCCTCTATTACTAGATTTTAGTGGCATCCCCTACTCCAAATCATGATAACCAAAAATATTGTTAGACACTGTAAATGTTTCTAGGGGTAGAGAGGACACGAAATTACCCCCCTTTTGAGAATCACTGCCTTGTCGTCTCTGCAGAAACCTTTGCAGAGCATGGAAGAGGTGATAACCTTAGAAGCACATATCAATTCTGTGACATGCATAAGTCATTTGACTTCTCTGGCGCTCAGTTACTTTACCTGCAAAGTGGGCATAATAGTATCCATCTTTTAGAGTTGAGATTTCACCACATCAGGCATAGAAACTGCGAGGCATACAGTAAGATCTTAATACGGAATAGTCATTTCTATTGGGGGAATTTCAGCTAATTTTTTCAACATCATTGATCCCAACTTAAGAAAAGGTGTCTCTCTTTCTTTTTCACCCTGCAAACAGAGCATGATGAATGTGGCAATGGGCAGCACAACTGTGATAAGAATGCCATCTGCACCAACACTGTCCAGGGACACAGCTGTACCTGCAAACCTGGCTACGTGGGGAATGGGACCATCTGCAAAGGTAGGCTTGCTGCCGTAAGGGAATACTGTGAGCTGCCAGCCTGCTTGGGGTCTCGATATTCATGGGGCAGACGATTTTTGCCATTCTGGTTACTGAGTATGGTCAGGGTTTCTGTTCCTGATTTATTAGCTGGCAAGAGCACCGTGCATCAGATAAAAAGAAAAATGCTTTGAGTCAACATTTTGGGTTTAATGAAAAAGGTGTATGTGTGGGTCAGGGGCATGGTTTTACAACTTGATCACTTTGTTCAGTTTTGCCTCTTGACTTGAGTTTGTGAACGATGCTCTGATTACTTCCATTTCCCGTGAGGCTTTGCTTAGAGGGCAAGTGGGCACGGTAACATTCAACATCTCTTGGGTCCTGGCTTCCAACTGCATTTAGAATAAAATTTAAAATCCTCTTTTTGGTTGATAAGGGCTGTCAGAATCTGGTCCCTGGCTCCTGTCAGCTGGCACCTCTCTTTTTTCAGCCCCCCTCTCCCCCTTGCATCACCATGTTATTCCTTGCTATTTCTTGAACATGCCAACCACATTCCTGTCTCAGAACTTGGTGCTCGTTGACCCCTCAACCTCCATGCTCATTTTCTTCAGATCTCTACTCAATTGTCTGCTTATCACAGAAACTTTCTTTGACCGTTCTGTCTAAAATAGAACCCCTATTTCTTCTTAACTCTGTGCCCTACTTTATTTTTCCTTCATAATACAACCTGATAAAACGTTATACATTTATACACTTGTATTGTCTGACTCTCCTTTGGGCTATAAGCTCCATCAGTGCAACCATTTGGTTTTCTCTCCCTGCTCTGTCCCCAGCAATTACAATGGTGCCTGGCATAGTGTAGTGTAGGCACCCATTAAATATGTGTTAACTGACTGAATCAACCAAAGAGGAAAGAGACACAATCACAATGAAAAAAGACAAAATGTACAAAAAGAAAAACCCAGAAAACTCTTTGAGTTAGATATTATGACCATTCTCATGAAAGATTCAGTACCTATACCAAGGACACACAACACGTTATTAGTACTCCTCTACAGAGATCACATGCTGGTGATGAGAGAAAAATAATGTACAATGATTAAATCACTATATTTATGCATTATATTAGAGGAGAATTTTAAAACATTCATTTTATTCTTCTGCTGGTCTTGGGGAAAACAGCCTCCTACGTGACTGAGAGTACATATTGGTAAAACTTTTTAATGGAAATTGGACAAACTCTATCAACATTTAAAGTAAATCTGAGGAGTGTACAGGGACTCTCTTGATTGCATTGATTTTACCTGTTGAAATGTGTTCTTGAAAGTACATCCTCATGAGGAGAAACAGTGCACATGCAGTGATGTTTTTGCTGCATTGTTTGTATTCATCAAAAACCAGAAACTACCAAAATATCCACCAGTAATAGAATGATTTAATTTATTTGGTGTATCATTTCATGAAATAGAATGCTGTGGTTTGAAAACTCGAAGTACGTGTATATACACATATGCACACACACACACACACCCACACACATGCATACTGAAAGATCTCCAGGAAATATTTTGGGGAAAAAGAAAAAAAATAAGTTAAATCAAGTTACAGGACAATAATATAGTATCCTTACATATCTAACATATTATTTTAAAATATATATGTATATTTATGTGACTACATAGAAACTGTAAACATGCAAACTGTTCACCATCTTATCCATGGGTGTGTGTGTGTGTGTGTGTGAGTGAAAGAGCTTTCATGTGTTGCTATGAATTCAATATTTTGAATCTCTTACAATGGGAATTTATATATGTAATATTTGTGTGGGTTTTTTAAAGTTCCATGGGGCAAATAAACTAGTCACAGCTTTTAAAAGAAGGCTGAAAATATTTCTAAAGCAAAGTAAAAAACATAAACATTAAATTAGTTCCTGGGATTATCAAGCCCACTGCTGGTCCCTGCTTGCTCATGCTATAAATATGAGGGGCAACATAGGGATTTGATTTTAATGCACTTTTCCCAGAATCATGTTACCTTGTCAAATAGTATTAATTGCACAGGTTCACTGAGTTTGTGTTTGCTAAACCCTCTCTCGCTCTTGTGATAAGTAGACGCTTCAGATTTGTGGAATTTGAAAGTCCAACTGTGCAATAAAAAGGTTCAAATAATGTTTCTGGTGTCCACAAACTGAAAATACATTTCCTTGAAAGTTATGAATTAGGGAAAATAATTTTCTTAAAGTGATTCTCCTGGTCAACTGTGTTTACTTCAGTAAGAGAGGGAGAATTCTGTGTTTTATAAATGTTGCATGAAGGAGACAGTACAGTATCGTTGAAGAACTGGACGCATTGAGAGTCAGGGTTTAGACCTGATTTCATTACTGTTGAGTTGTAACTTCTATATTTTTACGTATTAAAATTGGGTGAATATCACCTTCTGTGTTTATCCAATATTATTGCAAAGAATTATTAAAGGAAGATACAATGAAGTATTTTAAACTATCGAATGCTATTAAAAGTTAAGACAGTATTGTTAGTGGTACAATGATGAAGAAAGAGGAGAAGGAGGCAGTTCACGAGTTGCTTTTGCCTTCAGCCTTCTGATGGAAGTCCAGGCATATCTTGTTTGACTGTACTTCGCTTTATTATGCTCCATGGGTGTTGTGTTTTTAAGAAAACAAAGTCAGGACCCTTCCGCAGCAAAACGATTGCGATATTCACTTCATTATGGTGGTCTGGAAGGTATGCCTGTACCCAAATGTGAGTCTGTTTCAGGACCTGTCTTTTACACTTGTAACTGAAACATTAGTTCAAATTGTCTGCTGATGGACAAGGAGTTGGACAAGAATCACAAGACAACTTGAACTAATTCTTTTTTTTTTTTTTAAATGAGCTTTTCTAGACATTGTGTTGTTCTTGGCATTGACTACATCTGGGTAGAAATAAACACTGTTAACACTTCTATTAGCAAGCAACACACAAGGCAGCGGTTTCTCAACTAATACTGATTGGTATGAATTCTCTCAGATGGGCTTTCCTGGTGGCTCAAGCTCATGTGAGGAGGGTTTTTCTTTCCTTTCACATTTGTGGAAAATATTAGTTCACCTTCAACAAGAGTCACCAGGTATGTGCAAGACACCTTGCTAGGCGCGTTCACATATGTTTTCTCATTCAGTTTCCACCATAACCCTGAAAGGTTGATAGCATTATTCTCTTTCACAGGTAAAACTTAAATAAGACAGTTGAACCTGATTTAACCCAATTAGCGCGACTGCCTTTAGTTTCTTCCCTCTTCTCTCTCTCCCACTTCTTCCTTTTCCTTCATTGTTTTCCCCCGTTTTCTGCCTCTTTTCCATTTCCCCTTTCACTTCCTCCCTGTTGTTCATCACTTAACTCACTCTCTCTTTTCGATGTTCTTACTAAAGACTGCAAAGAAAACAGAAAGGGAAGGAAGATTGCAATAACGTCTATAATTAAAAATCCTTTTGCCTACATTTTAATAAACAGACTAAAGTACTTTTGAAAATATGTAACATCTGTTGCCAAATATTTCAGCATTTGGGGTTAAATGTGGGAAAACACTTGCAAACTGTTTCAAATCAGATTTGTACTACCCGACAGAAGGTGGGGGTTGTCTGTGGAAGAGTGTGTATCTGATTTCCCAGTCCTGCATTAACCTGGAACCGAAGGCGGGCTTTAACTAGGCAGTCGTCGATAAGTAGTTGATAGACTAAGCCTTCAGTCTTGTCTGTCATTAGGGCTGGATAAGATGCGATGATCCTTGAAGAATTTCTTGTCTTAATGACTGATAGTATTGACATTTAGTTCATAAACATACAGCGAGTGTCAATTTTGTGTCTGGAGGCTAGTTCCAGGCACCAAAAGAGCAAAAGACAAATGAGATAGGGTCGCAGGAGATTTTACCATTTAGTGTAGGAAAGGGATTTGAACAAATGCTTTCGACCCAATAAAACAATTTACAAAATGATATTATCTCATGGAAAGAGGCTTATGTAGAATTACTCCAAATATAGAGCCCTGTGAAAGGCATATTATATGTTCATTGGGACTCCTTTGGTTGTAAGTAAGAGAAATCTAGTGGCAGGATTGGTTGTGTAATTTTCAGAGCCCAGAGCAAAATAAATAAGTGGAATCCTTGTCCAAAAAGTAGGAAAAATCTGCTGTTTAAACATACTAAAATATAAAGCTTTTACCGTCTTTCCATGATCTCTTTCTCAATTTAACATGGCTTTTTTTAATTTGCTATTTAATGTTATTCTGTTGTCCATGGATACTCTTGGGGTGAGTGCAGACTGTCAGAGGATCTTTAGGTCCATCTCCCAGTATGGCTCATGCACGTGGCCCACTAACTACAGGGTTCCCCTCTGCCCTGACCAATACTCTCTAGCCTGGCTGGGAATGGAAATTGAGTCAGGGATTTTTTCTTCCATCCCAGTCCACAGCAGATGGGTAACCCAAAGGGACTGCAATCTCTCTACCAGTTCTGTAGATCATCCACAGAATGGACTTGAGTGCTGACCAGCTCCAGGTGGGGAGGATGCAGCTATGTTCTATCTGGAAACACTCAGAACATGGGTGCTCAAACCTGGCCCTCCCTGAAACTGTGTGCAGGACCTTGCTGAGGACAGAGTATGGCAGTTGTGGCTGGGTGGAGTGGGAGAGGCTATGAGAGAGCTGGGGACCCCAGTGGATAGGAATAGAGAGCTGAGAATCCATCTGAGAAAGGCAGGAAGGCAGTGGGAGGTGGGACCACTCATGAGTTCCAAATTCCCATCACATGCTCCATTGTCCCATTGGACCTCACCTGCAAAACACAAATTCAAAGACGAAATTATCGAGAACTTCAAGATGGTGACCACTGAGCATTAACCCATAGGCATGGGGCCCTTCTGAGTGAGGTATCCTGTGCAACTGCACTGGTTACATGCTACTAGTGTTAGTGAGCTTTTCAAGTATGTCATAGAATGTAAGGACAAGAAAGGTGGCTCGAATTTAGGAACA